AGGAAAATCCTAAGTAATTTGACTAAGATTACATGTACTTTAGGCAATAATGAGTCGACAATGGGGCAGGTTGTGTCGATGAGACTACTCATGCTCGCCTCGCCCCGCCCCGCCTACGGGTATGGTCGAAATTGTCATCTCTAGTTGCCACCCCTAGAGTCTGAGCAGTCACTGCCATGACTCCTCTGCTAGCCATGAAACCTCCACCAGAAAGACTAGTTGCCTTCTGAAAGCAACTGCCACTGCTTCTCCAACTAGATAGATCATTTTTTTTACCTCAAAGCCACTCTCAAAGAATTAGACTCAAATACCTTGACCGCTGCTGCAAATTCTGGCCTCAGACCTGCCATGCATTGCCCCCAGTCTCATCTGGCATTCCCTTGCACATGTTGCTCAGTTTCAAGAACTCTTATTAGTATTCAACAATTGTCTCGGTTTGCCTCAACTTAGCCAGCTACCCTGGTGTCCAACCATCCCGCCTTGGTCCGCCAAGCTCATCTCGTCTTCAGCCACAACTCAATTTGGACCCAGTCGGCCTAAATCTCATCGATCCGTAACCTACTCCTACTCACAAACATTGAGCCTCAGGTCCATTAACTTAGGGGTCGTTTGGAAGTTGCGATTGTTAAATAGATGTATTGTTGAGAATGTATGTATAATATTATACATGTATTGTCGAATTTGATGCATTGTAGAATACAACGTTTGGTATGTGTGATTGTGTATGTCGCATCAGCTAAAAGCTGAGACAAAACAATCTCAACTCAACAATCTCAACAATCACAACTAAAAGTTGAGATATAACAATCACTCAAAATGAGTGATAGTTTCTGTCACATCATAGAAACAATCCATGTATTGTTTCTGCTAAAAAAACAAAAAAATGATTCATTATAAACAATACATGGATAATGACAATCTCAACAAAACAATTACAACTTCCAAACACCCCTTAGGCTGAGTCCAATGCAGCCTGCATTTATGGGGTTGTCGGCATTAATGGCGATCGGGGAGTTCCAACGCAGAGAAATAAATGCCGAAAATCGGCAATTATGGAGGCGATCGGCAATTGGATCGCTATATATGGGGGAGCGTTTGCCGATTTCGGCATTTATGGAGGCCGAGGGCGGCACAGCCGCCGGGGCTGGGCGGTGCGCGGCTGTGCCGCCCAGCACGTTTTTTTTTTTTTTAATTGTTGACGTGTTTAAGGCCATTAGGAGTTGTAGTTAATTAGGGAATCTGATTTAGGGAATTGTAATTAATTATTGCCGAGTTAATTAGAGTAATTATTAAAGGAGTTGTAATTAATTAGGGGAAGGGGAAGGGGAATTAAATTGAATTAATTAGGGGAAGGGGAATTAAATTTATGTTTGTATTTAGGCTTTTTAGATTGTATTTAATTTGTGTTTAATATTTTTGTATTTAGGCTTTTTTTTCTAAGATGACTTAAATTGAATTCATTTTATTTAAAATTTATGTTTATCATCTTTAAGTTGTGTGTAAACAAAAATTAGATCGAACTAAAAATGGAAATTATATTATGGAAATGAAAATGTGTTTGTAAATTACAAAATAAATTGTCACCAACTACAACTTTAATTGAATTACAAAGCATCACAGCATCGATACCAAGCAACAACAATGCCTAATTATTTCCATGCAAGTTCCAAATATGTTCGACCAAGTCCCGACGAAGCCCATGATGTGTTGGTGCAGCACGAAGCCTATTATTCCTAGCTAAGTACTCAGTTAGGGTTGGAATATCTCTATCGACATTAGTTGGTTGTTGGTCGTGGACCTCATAATCAAGATTATCTTCCATCTCATCGTCAGAATCAACCTGCTCATCCTCGATTATCATGTTGTGCAATATAATGCATGTCAACATTATATCATTAATTGTTGCAACATCCCAAGATCTTGCAGGGCCACGAACGATTGCCCATCTAGCTTGAAGAATTCCAAAGGCCCGCTCTACGTCTTTTCGATGTGCTTCTTGACATCGAGCAAACAAGGCTTCTTTGTTTGAGCTTGGATTGCTGAATGTTTTCACTAAAGTTGACCACGAAGGATAAATACCATCAGCCAAATAATAACATTGATCATAGGTATGACCGTTTACCTCAAATCGTACTCGTGGGGTGGATCCGTTGAGGACACCGTCAAACACTGGAGACATCCCCAGAACATTGATGTCGTTATTCGACCCAGGAGGGCCGAAGAAAGCATGCCATATCCAGGTGTTGTACGAAGCCACTGCCTCGAGAATGATTGTTGGTTTACGGTTGTGCCCCAGGTACTGCCCAGTCCAAGAAGTAGGACAGTTCCTCCACTCCCAGTGCATGCAATCAATTGATCCAATCATACCAGGGAATCCGCGTTGTGAGGCTTTATGAAGTAGAATCCTTAGATCAGCAGGAGTTGGTGCACGAAGATATGTCGATGAGTACATCCCGACAATGGCTCTGCAAAACTTCCTGAAGACTTCAAGCACAGTGCTCTTACCCATACGCATGTAGTCATCAAGTTGATCAGCTGGAGATCCATAAGCTAGCATGCGCAGTGCACTAGTAAGCTTTTGCTCCGGCGATAGGCCTAGGTGACCAACGGCATCACTCCTTCGTGCAAAAGAGGGATCATACCTCACAACGTCACCCATTATGCGATTGAATAGTCGTGGTTGCATACGAAAACGCCTTCTGAATATGCGGGCATCGTATGTTGGATTTGGATTGAAGTAATCATGCATAAGACGGTCATGACCTGAGACCCTTTCACGATCAATGTAGGTGCGATTTGTTGAACGGCGACGTGAGCGTGAACCTTCCTCAAGCCTCCGCCCGATTAAAGTCAAACGATGATAGTTAAACAGATTCAACTCTTCTATCTCTTGTTCTCCTCCAGAAGATGAGTAATCTGAGGAACTCATGATGAATGTGTTTGTTTTAGAAATGGGAGGAAGTTTCAGACAAGTATACAATTGATGGTAAATGGGGGATTTGCATTTATATTCGAACATGTTCTACCTACCAACCTTACCTAACGGTCATATTCGAACATGTGCTACCTACCAACCTTACCTAACGGTCATATCTGAACATGTGCTACCTACCAACCTTACATAACGGTCATATTCGAACATGTGCTACCTACCAACTTTACCTAACGGTCATATTCGAACATGTGATGCCTAATAGCCTTACCTACCAACGTTTATATCCGAACGGTCATAACCTAACGGTCATAAATTCTCTATATATTCAGACATCCTCCCCTCTCTCTAACATTCATTCTTATTGAAATTTTCTGTTAGTCCCCTCATTCTTTCTATCATCTTTGTCTCTCTAAAAACCAAACAATGACAAGCAAGAGAAAAGGGAATTGGACAGCGGAGGAAGATAAGAACTTGTGCAGTTCTTGGGTGATGATATCGGAAGATGGAGCTGTGGGTGTCAATCAAAGGGATACAAGGTTCTGGGATAGAGTGGCGGCGCAATTTCGATCGAACGATCGAAACACATCTCGTACTATCAAAAGCATGTGTAATCGAATGGGCACAATCACCAAATACTGCAAGTGTTGGAATTCAGCTATCCAAAGGGCAGAGAGGAATCAACCAAGTGGCACGAATCAAATGGATGTGGTATGAATTCTCCGTCACCATCATTGTTATTTTTTACCTTGTTCATTAGTACGTGTGTTCTATTTTCTAACTCCTTTTCCATCTCATTCATTTATACGTATAGGAGCATATGGCAGAACAACTCTATTTAAGCGAGACCGGAGAAAAGGGGTGGACTTTTGGTCATTGTTGGTGGATCTTGAAAAGATGCCAAAAATTTCATACCGTGATAATGATGCCATCTTCAAATCAAAGCCGCATGAGTCAAGGTTCTGATGGTTCTCCCATGGGTCTTGGTTATCAATCAACACCACAGACAGACCTCAATAACACAGAAGGAGACGAAGAAACTCCACCATTCGTCGGAGAAACTCCACCGTTCGTTGAAGAAACTCCACCATTCGTCATATCTCGCCCTGCTGGACGCGACAAACAGAAGGCAGCTAAGAAGAAAGGAAAGGGGGTTGTCGAGTCATCAGAGAGCTACACTGCTCAATTGCTTGAGTATGGAAGTGAGTTGAAGGAGAGGCATGCTTTGAGGACTGAGTATGAGCGAAGAAGGATGGAATTCCAAGAACAAAAATCAAAGCGTGACCAAGAAAAGTGGGAAGTTGAGAAAAAAGAGAGGGAAGCAACACTATTTCGGAACAATCTTGATCTTATTGAAAAGGACTTGTCGAAGTTGACACCAAGAAAGCGGAAGTTTTACAAAAATCATCAAAACATGCTCCTAGGGTATGATCAAGATGATCCCAACTCTGTTCCCGACTATTCATCCAACGCAAGTCAAACTGGAGGTGGAGATGGAAATGGAGGAGGAGATGAAGGTGGAGGAGGAGATGAAGGTGGAGGAGATTACGGGAATTACTATTCCCTTCTGGGTGATTATTGACATGTTATGTGTTTCTTTTTTTATCATTTCAAGTGTTGTGTGTTATTTTTAAACTTTATCATTTTCAAGTGTTGTGTGTAATATTTAAGCTTTATGATTAGCAAGTGTTGTGTGTAAACCCAAATTAGGTCCATAATTTTTTGCTAAAAAAATTCGGTCTCGAAATTTAACAAAATTCTATCGAAAAAATTGTATTTAAAAATGATGACGAACTATACAAAAATTAACATGAACAAATTATGTTAAAGTTTCGATAAGTACATTTTTCAATAAATGGAAAAACTGGAAATATTAAGAACCCCAAATATGGAGTTTGTTGCATTGGAGCAAAAGAAGGGAAAATGGGGTCCAATCCCCAAATTTGGAGTTCAAGTCCCCTATATTTGGGGTTTTGCATTGGACTTGGCCTTAGACCCAAATTCTTAGCCCACGAGGTCATATCCCGCCAATTTGGCATTTTTGTGGATCGCGATGATACCATGCGCAGCTGGAGTGTGCAAGAGTCCTGCCCTGAGCTTTGGGCAAACTTGGCCCACACTGCTCAGCCTCGCGGGCTCTAGGGATGAGCCACCACCAATATGCTCTACATCAAGCCCCATCGTCGCCATCAAGCTCGCCTTCGCCGTTGCTCGTGGGGAGGGTGCATCGTCGACTGCTCCATCATCTAGGTCTGTCGCTTGAAGCTACGGGGAAGAGCAGGGAGCCGCCCAGACTAGGAGTGAGATGAGCAGCCGACGCGGTCCGCCGAAGCACCAAAACGAATATGCTTGGAAGCCTAAAGCAGGCATCAAGATCAACGAAACGGTAAATTCCCTTTTCCGAGAGACCAAGACTTAGATGAATTCATCGCTCTTTCTCTTCTTTAATGTCCATGGAACCAAATGGTATGTTTCTCAACTTCCCGACAAGTAGGAAGTCGGCGGCAGGTTCAGGCCCTTACCGGCGATTTGCGGAGTGTGCCAACGATGTAAAGACCAGATCGATTGGAAGCGCCGCTACGGCAAGTACAAGCCTCTTACTGAGCCGGCAAAATGGTTAAGTTTGAACCTTTACTTGTTTATTGCCTTTCCTCTGTTCTTCTCTTATATCCAGCTAGATAGATGTAAGTCGCTCAGTAGTGGGTTTGAATGTGTTGCAGCCAACATTGCTCCAAACGTGCAGTCCGTCATGCCTACCATAACTTATGTTCAGGTTGGTAGTTTTCTACTTGGCTGAAATGCTGAAAAGGTTTCATCTTTGCGCATTTTTTTGGTTTCATTGATGGTGGTGTCAATCTTTTTTCTTGATTGGAATGGATTGTTCTGTTTAGGATGTGCCAAGGAGCAAAAGGTGTGCGCAAAGTGCCAATGCCGAGTTGACCAGATAGTTGGAAGGTCTGGTCTGAATCTTTATGTTGTCAAAAGTATATACCTAAAGTTTGATTGTAGCAACAATAGCTTATACCGAGTCTTCGACTTTGTGTTGTTTCTGAAGGGATTCTGAAGATGTAGAGGCTGAGCAGAAGATGCTCGAGGATGTACGTTATTTGATGTGGCTAACAATTTGATTTGCGATTGAAATTGAGTAGTTATTTCTGTTTGGTTCTCAACTAGGTTTTGTTGGTGTTGTAGGCCATTAAGAATGCCCGGGAGAGAGATAGGAGGACCCTCCTGCGGTCGGTAAGTTTCTTGATGAAGACTTTCCATTAATTCAGCATCTTGTTGTCTTCCTGTGTTGTTGTCCTGATTTTTGTAATTTGTTAGTGCTTAATGAATTTGATATCCTACTAGTGAAATGGATTAGGGAGTGGTGAAGAGTTGTCCTGATGTTTTCTGGCAGTTGATTTAGTATCTTAATTGGAAGTACGGGCTTCGATTTCTCTGCTCCCATAATGCACCTAACTGCTTACTTGGCATATGCATTAGAGGATTGTCAACAAAGAACTGACAAACTGATATTGCTCTTCTCTTGATTGGTTGTTTCATGTTGTAATCAATCTCTGTCCATGAAAGCCTTAGAGATTTTGTGTTCCTTGTAGAAAATGCTCAAGTAACCTAATCCTTTTCTTAACATTGTCATTTATTATATCCTTGTTAGAACAGAGTTCGAACCAGTGCTCAATGTAGAGAGGCCTTCCTGCTATGGAACTTATATTGCACTCTTCATATCCTACCTGGTCTTTTCTTATTTCTGGCATTCTGTCTGACCTTGCATCATGTTGGGTGTGTGGTGCACATGTTTGACCCCTTGTAATGATTGCATCAGATGGGCAAAGCTAAAACCAAGAATTCAGCAATGCCACCAACCACAGAAGGGAATAAAGTTGGGGATCTGTTTCCTACTGTATCACTGGAAGGATATGCTGCAAAAGTCTCCGGTCTTCGTATAAGTGACACTAATAATAAGGACCTCGATGAAGGAGAAGAAGACCACTACTGTGATGAACAAGGCGAACCAAGAGACGAGGATGAAGATAAAGGAGAGGGGGATGATAGTGAGGAAGAGAATGGTGAATCGGAAAGTGGGAGTAGAGTTGAACAAGCACTTCAACATCATTAGGATTGGTAGCTATATAGGCACTCAAAGATGGAAATGTATCACTTTATAATGTTTCAAAAGTATCCTACTACTGCTCATATACGAGGAAGCAATTTTGGTTTGACATCTCACTTTTCTGTACTTGTGATATCCTATTGATCAAAGTATGGCTGCATTCATTCCGGAGTTGCCTGCTCTTTTCCCTATGGTTTGTCTTTGCAGGAAGGATGAATTCCAAACTAATACAAAATGTCACAACGTTTGTAAATTTGATAGTTTGTAGAAATATCTATAACAAGAACTTGTTTGTAAACATCCAGGTCACCACTAAAAAAAAGAAGTTTACTTCCGTTTCATTTTAAAGTACTCGGCACCCGATATAGAATGCTTCAACTGGAAGGGATTTGCCTTCTCCAAGGCACTTTAAATAATTAAGAAAAGTAATTTGGAGTCAGAACTCAGAGAACCTAGGGAAGATTGATTTGCTGAATAAAAGAAAGACAATGGATCTGAAGTTCTGAACTGAACTTAATTCCGAAGTTAACCTGGCCTAGGAGGTTACTGCACAAGGAAAAAAAAGAAAAATGCAGAAACGAAGCAACTCAAGAGGAACCTCGTCCAGATGGCTCCCTGGAGGAAGAAGACTACTTGCATTGCTATGCACTCTCTTGCTTCTTTGCACCTTCACCATCTTTAGTTTGAGCTCCAACATCTCTTATCCTGGCTTGCTTTTTGCAGCCAAAGATGTCTGCAATGGTGAACCGGCTTTGCTGCCTTCTTCATCTTCTTCTTTACTCCATTCCCAAATTTTCGGCTTGCAGGCTCAGGTGGGAGTACTCTTGCAGCAACTTCACAACGATAGCCTAACAGGATCCAAGCCTTTATCAGCGTTCTCTGATCAACTTCTTCGCTTAGCGGTTTCTCTGGACAAGGTTGCAGGTAGTCTTTCAAACCCATCGCGCAGCTCTCTTGCTGCTACTGAAATGAGCCAAGTTGATGAAGATCTAACTGAACCCACCGACGATGAAAATGAATACGATTCAACAGGAAGAGTAAAGTCATTCACTTCAGGTGAGGTTCATAACTACATATCTCCAAAACCAAACAGGCAAAACGGGAAGAAGAACTTCCTTGGAATGGAAGCAATCACCCCTGCAGTAGGGTTTGGCTGTGCCCATATGGCCACACATCTAGACCGTTTCGTGAGCTACAAGATGTACGAGATGTGCCCAGATGATTGGGATGTAGCTCAACGGCTGATCCTCAATGGCTGTGACCCGCTTCCAAGAAGATTGTGCTTCTCAAGGGCATCCCCAAGCTATACCAACCCGATTCCACTGATGAATTCCTCTCTCTGGGCCCCACCTAGCGATTCCAATATCATGTGGAGCCATTACAAGTGCAAGAGTTATGATTGTCTTGTTTCTGGTGAAGCTAACAGAAGAGGGTTCTTCAAATGCGCAGACTGTTTCAACCTGACGAAGCGAGGCTGGGAGGTGGCAACCAATGAGTCCATCTCGGCTGAATTCACCATTGATGAGGTTTTGACGTTGAAGCCAAGCGAGATCCGTGTAGGGCTAGATTTTAGCCCTACAACCGGAACTTTTGCTGCACTTATGAGAGAGAGAGGTGTGACCATTATTTCAGCTACATTAAACCTAGGTGCTCCTTTCAGTGAGGTAATTGCACTGAGGGGGCTCTTGCCTCTGTATGTATCAGTTGGGACGAGACTGCCTTTCTTTGACGACACGCTTGACATTGTGCACTCAATCCTGTTCTTGGACGGATGGATAAGGGTCGAGCTACTCCGGTTTGTGCTTTTTGATTTGGACCGTGTTCTTCGACCCAGAGGGTTACTTTGGGTCGATCGCTTCTTCTGCAAGAAAGAGGATATGAAGATGTACCTTGATGAGTTCGGAAGGCTTGGATACAGAAAGCTATTGTGGAGAGTTGTGCCAAAGACGGACAAACTTGGGGATGAGCTTTTCTTCTCTGCTGTTCTGGAAAAACCTACCAGGACATAAAATAGCAGAAGTTTTATTACATACAATGATACAATCTTTCGATACATAGGAGTCGCATGTTTTTTTAGTGCGAAATGAGAATTCTCCGATGAAGAAATCAACTTGTTTCTTCTCCTTTTATTACTACTATCAATGAGCAATAGTACACAACTAATCGTCAGAAGAACTCGAAGTTTTCCTACACACATACACTTTAACGGTAAGGGAAAAAGAAAACAATACAGGCGTTACAATCTTGTAATCACGTTAAAATTTCGCCCTCAAGGGAGAATAATAATGAAAGGGCTCTTCTATGTAATCAAAGAATCGTAGATTTGATCCATGTGGCTTTCCAAAAAAATCTGCAACTGATCAAGATTTATTGGTATAGCTCCTCCTCTTTGGCCATGGCAGTTTCAGCCAACAACAAAAATAAAACATTCTCTTGCGAATTTGTTGAAAGAGACATCTCAAGAAGTCGTAGAGATTCCTGATCAAGAGCAAAAATTCCCATCATTCCTTCAACAAGATGTTGTTGGCCACTGTAATGTCCAGAGTCTTTCTGTTTATTCATCTTTTGCACACAAGCGCTCTGCATGGAGCAATACACAGCTGTTAAGGAGGTGAAATTATAAGCTATTCTGTCAAGACTAGATAGATGAACTACCTATAACCACTGCGGATAGTTGGTAATAAGATGAGGACACAGAAGATTAGAAGAGAGATACACATCTCTTGTAGGTCTACAAACTACTGGCCTGAGATATGCATTATGAACAACTCAAGACTTATGAAACAATGGTATCCCTAGTGTCTGCACAAGTCAAAGCTCTTGATATGGCCATTGAACAGACAAAGGGACTAACAGCAGCCTAGTGTCACATTAATACTCTAGAGATTGAGTAGGAGCAAGAATACATACTCAAATACTCATATGCTAGTATCATGGAGGTTCCCCATGCTGACATGCTGACAAATCTTGGGCCCAACCCTTTGTATAAACCAGTCCAACCATCATCCTTTACCAAGGTTTTGACCACCTGTCTAGCAGTACTTTTCCTTTCATGCCCCATTACCTGGACCATGGAAACACCCGAGTAAGGGAAATGAGTAGGACACAACAAAAGGATTAGTGGTTACATGGAAAATGAACTTGTGAAACACACCAACAAATAACCCACCCATTATGTAATTTATGTAGTTGCCGATTATAAACTAACTTCTGGCTTCCAAAATCTCTCCTAACTATTGTTTTAGTACACAGCCAAACATTTAGTCCATCTCCATGTTATTGCCTTAGCTGCTATAAAAGACCATAAAAAGAGTATGATGCTAAACCACTTGCATGGCTTACTCACCGTCATATATCAAAGTTCCATAAAACAACCAAGGAAAAGTGGAGAACACTCAAAACTTCCTTTCACTACTAGTAAAAGTCAAGTATTCAACTTCACTGTCGCGAAAATATTTCTCATGCATAAAATGGTACCCCTTTCAGAAGTTGCATCATTGCAGGCCAACTTTGTTATATATAAAAAAATTCATTGCAGGCCAACTAAATTAGTTTTTTTTTATTGCATTAAATTATGAATGAGTGGCTACAAGTCCAAAGGGAAGGAGAAGTTGGACAGCGCAAGAACACTATTCATTAGAGATTTGAACTATTACCTGCAAACGTGTCTTTATAGTGTCCAAAGGGGTTGTGATGCAGGAAGCAGTAGCTCCTGCAATAATCCCTCCACTAGCTTGAACAGCGACTATCTTCGAGTCACTAGGGGCTGCTGGCTCAGCATCAGTTCCATAACCTAAAAACCTGTTCAGAATGATCCACATGTTAAAGACAAATAAATCATGCAAGGTACCGAAGCCTGGTGAGAGGATTAAAAGACCATACACTCGGTTTGGGGTGCAGTAGGAGAAAACCTACCTAGCACATGCTCTAAAGCCATACCCTAGCACAAGTTTATGATTATATAATTTCCAAAAGACTAGATAACATTATACATTATCTAACCTAAATTTAATATCAGAGAGAGCCTAAAACAGAAAGCTAAAATAGTAAATTAATCTGAAAATTCAAATCAAGAAAATAGAAGGCAAATCTTCAGGGTAAAATGAAATCACCTCCATATAATGCGTTGGCTTGAACCATAGCTTGCCCACCATACAGCACTAGATGGGGAATATGTCATGACTGAAAGACCAAATCCCCTATATAATCCTCGGATTCCATCACTCCGGACAATCTTACGAACAACATCGATACCCCCCTTATATCTCTCATGACCAGAATATCCTTGCACCATCAACTTTTGACTGACCTAAAACAAAACGATCATGGAGCTATTCAGAAATCCACATTGTATGCAACTTTAATTTATGCATTCTCTAAGCCAACAGCATACATATACGAATGACAAACAAAACTATAATGACCCTGTCCTCTCGAGAAATAGGCAACATAGAGCAAATTTTTCAAGAAACGACCTTTCTCGAAAATTAGTCTCCCAAAGGTCGTAAAACAGAAAGCCTAACTCTTAAGTAGTGTAGATAAATATCAGGACGCCATTCTAAGGTATTCAAAGAAAGAAGCGAACAACATACCACATCAATTGGAACAAACACCGACTGCGAAAACAAAGACGACGTCATGCCAGCAATCCCATTTGCCACAGCTGCTTGCGGAGCTTCAGATAAATTGAGCGGTTCAATCATTTTGAAAGCAGCCACTTTTGTGGTCTCTAAAGCTGTGAGAAAGATAATCCTAGCAGGGATTGCCCCAGTTATCACGGTGCCAAAGCCTCGGTATAGACCAGGTATACCATCTGACTTCAGTAACCCTCTGATGACAGAAAATGCATTCTTCTCTACCGTATCCTTTGTAGCAACCTGGAGCCTGGTCTTGATAACAGACATGGGATACAATGCTACTGTAACCCCAGTGAAAATCCCAGCTCCCACCACATAAAACTTAGTCTTGTCCAACCTGGCAAAAGCCCAGATGGAAATACATAAGCACATGAAAAGGGTTTAGATGATTTGCCCAAATCAGATACTTAGCAAGAAGCAAAACATCAAGATTTCATACACTGCTAATGAGGGAGCATTGTGAAACAAGCAAATTCATATCGAATTCACATGTTCCGTACTTTCCTTTCACAATGGAACTTTTCCTCCATTGTTTTAAGGTAGGCCAGCGTGATATAACAACCTTGCACCTCCATGTTTTCGGTCGTATTTTCTCGGCAACCAAACGCTCAGCGGAAAATCAATTGACTACGGTAGCAACAATACACATAGCAGAGGGCAAAAGACGAACGTACTTGTCCCAATTGATCTCGGTCTGGCCAAAGGGCTGCGCTCGGGCGCTAGTTGTGGTGGTAGTAGCAGTGGATGCCTCCATTGGGGAATCTCGGAGCTTGGGAAGCGAAGAAGTATCGGCGGGTGACGTAACCAAAAATCAATGCTGTAAGGGTTTGAATTTTCTCTTTCGGGAATCAGGTTTTCACATTTCAGGGGAACTTGAAGCGAAAGATTTCCGTTGTGAAACGAAAAATCAAACTTTCCAATACGAAAGTCTCATTCTGTAATCCAACGACCGATCTGTAGTTCTGTACTAGTGTACTAATATTCTGGAAATTGTTAATTTTCTTATTATTTAATTATGGTCGACGCGCCGCGGTGGAGAAGTTTGACGATAGAAATAGGCCAATTGGACGAACGGCGGCCAGCGGGAAAGCGTTGGAAAAAATCATTCGTGTAATTTTATGGGCCAGGCCCAATAATTTCAAACCAAATCCAGTAGCATTTCTCATTGTCATGGATGCCAAAGAAAAATGATTACCAAGACCATCAACAACCATGAAATTGCCTATCTATTTCATTTGTGGCCCCTACTACCACCTATACACTTTTTACAATTTCATTTTTTAACATCCATTTCATCTACATCGGCTAAATTACACGTTTGGTCACTCAAATTGTACAAATCTTTCACGTTTGCCACCCGAATTACTTTTCTTTCTTATTCACCACTAACTTTACGAATCGTTACACGGTTGGTCACCGGCCGTTACACTCTGTTAAGTTTGTCCTACGTGGCAGTCAACTATAAAGTTTGACCGTTAACTAGATGACGTGGAAATTAAAAAAATAAAATAAAAAATAAAATTTTCTTTCCACCTCATCATTGCACTTATTTTGTCTATATAATTTATCATATTAATATTTAATAAAATTTAATAAATTACAAAAATGGGCAAATATAATAAAGGAAACAATCAGCGCCAAGCGAACATCGGATTAAAGAGGGACCATAAAGCGTCGAGCGTCACGCTCCACTCCTCGCTGCCGCCGCAACCAGCGCAGTCACCCTACTCCTCGCTGCCGCCGCTCCCCGCACCTCCGCTCGCTGCCGTTCCTCGCCCACTCTCTGTTCCCCGACTTCATTTTTCTCCCAGCAAAACAGATTCCACCTGCCGCCGGGATCTCTTTCTTCCCCGCAGTGAAAAAGGTCGTCATCAAATATGTTGGGGTGGGCTGCGCTGATGGCAGCCGGAGGAATCTGCTTTGCGCTAGGGAGGGCGGCGACGCTATGGGCATCACCCAAAGAAAGAGCAGGACGCCGCAACCTACTTCCCCGGCAGGCAAAACAGGTAGAGAGAGGGCCTCAGACTAAGAAGCAATCACGATTCTCCAAATTCAGTCATTATTGAGTAAAATTCTGAGATCCTAGCATTGGCTGAAAGGAATTCGAAATCGAAACCCAAAGCAGGAGGAGCGCACTAACCACAAGAGACAAAATCCCGCGCAATGAAAAGCAGAAAGGGGAACGACAGTGAGAAAAGAAAGGAGCTCATACAGTCGGACAAGCAGAACGCGCCGGGGAAACGAGTTGAGGATTCTGGTGACCGGCGCTGCCGAGGCCGTCGTCCTTGACGCGGAAGCAGTCGAAGAAGCAGGCCATGGCTGTGGAAACGAAGAGATCGGAGCTCCTCCCACATCGATGTCATCTCGGTACCCGTCGCCTGGGGCCTTCAATCAAGGCCTGTGAAACCCGTCTAAAGCACTCCTAATCGCGCGGATAGACGGCGACGACGAGCTTGGAGGGACCATCTTTCTCGACGGCGATGACTGGTTACGCAGAGGGCGGTGAGGCTCGGACAGAGATGGGTCGTTTCTGGGTTTGCAAGGGTCGCCGGTCGTTTTTTTATTTTTGCAGTGCGGCGGGTTGTGTTTTTGGGAAGGGGGGAGACAGGGGAAGAGCATGGGGAGAGTTGGGCGGATGGGAGGAACGACGACGACGAACTTGGAGGGAAGGCGAAGCTTGGGCGGAGCTAGGTCATTTCTAGGTTTGCAATTGCGATTGTCAGCGGGCGACGGCAAAGGAAAGAGAGTTCGACGATGGGTATCGAACAAAGAAGAGAGTGCGTTGGTTTCTTCAAATTTTTGGCCAAGATTGGGTCTGGTCTATGGGTTGAGTGATGACATGGAATTGCTTAGGTGGTTTATGATGAGGTGGAAAGAAATTTTTTTTTTATTTTTTTTAATTTCCACGTCATCTAGTTAACGGTCAAACTTTATAGTTGACTGCCACGTAGGACAAACTTAACGGAGTGTAACGGCCGGTGACCAACCGTGAAACGATTCGTAAAGTTAGTGGCGAATAAGAAGGAAAAGTAATTCGGGTGGCAAACGTGAAAGATTTATATAATTTGAGTGACCAAACGTGTAATTTAGCCCATCTACATCCATGAAATCTATCTCCAATTTCATATGGTGGGCCCGATTCACATAAACAATATAACTAAATAATTTATACACTCTAACCAATTGAAATGGGCACACTTGCTACCCCACTTGCAATTTCATTTGCTCTTCCATCTAATGAAATATTTCATTATTGAAATGGGTTGCTACAACCATGAAATGGCAAATGACATTGCCATGTCACTTTGAAATGAAGAAGAGACAGCCGATGCAGCTGCTCTTAACAAACCCAAGAATCCACCATTTGATCAATGTAGAACAATATTAAATGCACACTTTATCCCTAAGCTGCGCAACACAATTGTGAACTAGCAACCTCCGCAACCCTACTAAAAATGTACCTAATCACTACTACCAATCTTTACTTAACAATCCTGAATCCGGAAACCATAATTAAGATTTACATGGACGTTGATCATATTTAATAAAATTTTAATCTATAATACACTTTGTTTCCTTGTCAATTCAAAAGGTATGTGTCGCTGAACTGCATTGTCTTATTCTTCGAATCAATTGGGCACAATCCATGAACGATGAACTCGTCCTGCTTCAATTGTACCGTGCAATCATTGAACATGCAAATGACTGGGGACTATATCACCACGAAGAGTATTCTATGCACCTTGATCGGATCGTAATTGAGAATGTTGTACAGCTCCTCCTCTGTAACTGTGGTAGAAAACTTGTAAGATATGATATTAGTCATGGAGGCAACATGCAACTCAGTGGAAACCCTGGTCATGCTGGTCTGAAGCAGGGAGATGGCCCAAAGGGCAAAGGCAAGCACAAAGCTAGTTTTTCAACTTGCCCATATCTCCCTTTCCCCGCTTGATCTACACAATCTTCTTTGCCTCTGCAAATGATTAGCGGATCCGACGGATGAAATAAGCTGAAAAAAATTAAAAGTACTGCCATGCATATGTCCAACCTATCGAGCTGCAAGACACAGCTTAATAATGTAGGCTCAATTACTATATAAACAACCAGTAGTAACTTTGAGATCACAGTAATTGTGAGTGTTAAGTGTTAACCACTTGTCCATAATTCTTTTTGCCGGCTTAACCTACACGGTCTTCTCTGCCTCTGCTATACCGTTCACAGATCCGGCGACTGAAGTATGTAAAAGAAATTTTTACAGTAATGCCAAGCTTATGTCCAACCTATCCATCGAAAAAGACACAAAGCTTAATAAAGTGAGCTCAATTACTATATAAACAACCACTTAAAATTTTGGGATCACAATAATCGTGGGTGTTAACCACTTGCAACTTTGAGGTTTTCAATAATTGTGAGTGTTAACAGTTAACCAAACCAAACAGAGGGATGGTTTACACGACTCATTTGGCAGCAAAAAAAGGTCATTTGATTCTACCAAAAAAAAAGGTCATTTGATTCCAACGAATGACTAATTTTTTCTTCCTATTGAAAAGCCTAGTCTAAAAGTTGAGGAGCCCAGACAACCAACATATTAGCCCAACTAAAAGAAAACATACATAAAGAGGAAAAAAAAAACCCCCACAAAGCCCAAATACAATGGCAGAAAAACAACACAACCCAAAAGCTTGTTTGTTTGATGGATTTGGATCTATGATCGATTTATCCAAAATTCATTGTTTGCTTCAAGTATTTAGAGGTAATAAATATGTGAGACCCTTGATTTTGAGGGTCCAAATCCGTGTGCTCCACGTACTTGAAAACCCACATCTTTAGTTAAGAATTGATTATGGACTTTGAAGTTCATTATTTTTTACAAACCTACCCCTCATATTTTCTTTCTCTGATTATTATATGATTAAGGACAATAAAGGTAAGTTTCACTTCATACAAACAAATTTAATTACCAAAATCCACCATGAAATTCATGAAACAAACAATGATATTTTTCAAATTCATAATGAGCCCAAACCCGTCATATATCCATGGTTTTTCAAGTCCACGATGCAAACGGGCCAGGCAAACAAACAAACAAATAAGCCCAACATCAACCCTAGTCCATAGCGTTCAAATGATATCTTCAACCATCATACTAACTCTAGACCGCCGTCAACATCCATGCCAAGCTGAAACCAACTTGAACCACTACACCATAGATGCCGTCAACAATGAATTCTAACGACACACTGCGCCAACAGACCGAGAACATCAATCAGGACTACCACCGCCATGGGCATAAACAATAAAATCTCCAAGTTGATTAATCAATCAATTAGATCCAGTGACATATTTATCTTCGACTGGACAATCAAGAGAATCCGAATTCCAGATATCAAATGATCAAGAAACCAAGACGTTCATTCTTGTTTATTAAATTAATCATTTTTCTTATCATCCATATGGATTTAATTCGACAGTGTGACTAATCAATGAGTAGATGGATCTGATCTCTTGGTGACTTATTACCTGGCTAAATGAGTAAATTTGGTTATGCTCTCGCCATAATTGCAACTCACTTCATCGCAAAGATCAATAATGATTGATTACACTAAGTTAAAGTCTTAAAACCACTTTGTCAAATGATCACGCGTCTTGGCGAAGCCATATATGTAATCACTAATCACGCAGTCAAAAAAGAAGAAAGCACACTTGAGGTGGCTCACCTCTATTTTTACTCATTCAGTAGTCTCCCAACTTCTAAGCACACCTCTTTCTGCTCAGTCTTGTGACTAAAAAGAGGAAAAATACTGTATTGCTTTCTTGAAGCGACAACCTCTTGATAGACCTGACCATTCAATAAGAAGGTCTCTGCATAATTTTGGTATAGGTCCCTGCAACTGTAAACGGTAGAAAAAGAAGCTCCAGACTTGACTTGCGAATGTGCAATGCAGTAGCAAGTGATGTAATGATTCTTCGGATGTGAAGCACATGCTACAGTGATTTGGGGAGACAC